AAAAACATAAACTGGCAATGTGATCCTGAAAAAACAATTATTGAAAATATGATCAACCATCAATGTGCTGAGTTTGGATAAATTGTGCCAAAACCTGGAGTTGGTGGGAATTTGATATTAAAATTAAACCATACACTGGGAATTTGGATTCAAAGAATTGGTAAACAAAACAAACTTCAAACTTTCAGTCCAGCAAATATCGTTGTTGTACTTGACTTCATGGCGCTCTACAAATTCCTGGGGGGCATATGTTTTGGTTCAGTTTTCTATCTTGCTGGACAGAAAGTTGGCAATGGTTGTGATGGGCTGCATACCATATTTCCTCCATTAGACGCCGGCCTCTAATAGAAGCCGGGTCAATTGTTCAGTGCAAAAAATAGAAGCCGGACCTCTAATAGACGCCGGGTCGATCAATTGATACAATGGTCATAGTGGTCATAGTGAAATTGGGGTATTAATAGAAGCCGGGCCTCCAATAGACGCCGGTTTAAGGCTTGTCCGAAATAAATAGAAGCCCGGTCGTCTAATAGAGGAAATACGGTACCAACAATGAGCAGTGCAGGATGTCACACACTGTAAGGTTTGAACACATTGTAAAACTACCGACTTTGTTAGACAAGTCAAATTTTCCTTTTAGTTGAGAGTGAATAGAGTGAATAGGGTGTCAAGCTGCTTATTGCAATATCCCAACTATATCATGATGGGCCCCCCACATGTAGACCGTTGACAATTAGACATGAACCACAAGGACGCTCCACTACCTCCATCTACAATGAAACTTCCAAAGTTATACTTCAACAAAATATGTAGTATGGACAATTTACTGGTTAATAGAGTGAGTGAGTGAGTTTGATTTTACGCCGCTGGTTAATTGAGTGAGTGTGTGAGTTTGATTTTATGCCGCTGGTTAATTGAGTGAGTGAGTGAGTGAGTGAGTTTATTTTACGCCGCTTTTTAGCAATATCACAGCGGAGGTTACCAGAAATGGGCTTCAAACATTGCACCCATGTCCAGAATTGAACCCAGGTCTCGTCTGAAGAGCCAACACTTTAACCACTAGGCTACCTGACCGCCCCTACTGGTTAATAGCATAATTCTCAGGTGACAATCTTAAAAATTCAGGATGTGTTCAAAATAAACTAATTCGAGATCAGAAACTTCATTTCATATCCACATTTGACACAAAACATTTTATTTGTTTGTTTGTTTGCTATTTAACGCAGCACTCAGCAGTATTCAGCTCTAAGACATCTACAGCAACACTATCCACAGTGTCAAGGTACGATGACCTGCCATCAACCTGGTCACAGAGTCTGATCCCTTCACTTGCCTGTCATGATCAGCACAGGCTTGGGACCTATTCTTATCTAGAGTCCCCACACTCACAAAATAGATTTTGAAAGCTGAACCTTTTTTGTCCTTTTCTGCAGACAAATGATTATTGACATCTTTGCAATCTCAGCCCTCATATCAGCAAATTACAGAAGCTAATTAATCACCAGTGTCTCACTTTACAAATATAATTGGATGCATTTCAAGACAAAGCGATTATTCAGCTTACAGTGAGTGAGTTGGGTTTAACGCCGCTTTGAACTGTATTCCAGTTATATCACGGCGTGACAGCTTAATGTGGGAGCAAAGCCAGAAGCTATTCAGCTCTCAGACGTTTACCACTTCGGTGAAACCCACGAGCACAGGTATGGTGACGACAAACCTAGAAACATAATCAGGGTGAACCGGGATTGGAACCCACAATCACAGTTTTTTGGCGTGTCCAAGGGAAGCAACTCTGCACAGCGAATCACAGCGCCTGAGACGACTTGGCTACCCGTGCCACCATTTAGCTTACAAGTAAGTCTGTTAATCTGAAGTTATTATGAATTTGAAACTAAAACATATTATTTACTTTTTCCAAGTAATCTTAGACATTTTAGCAAAAGATTACATGGGTTTTGAGTTGGATAATATGAAATAGGATTCCTGTCACATTCACATGCATTTCAAAAGATACTGTGATATTTTCTTCTATCACATCTGTTTAGTCAAATACATACATATCTTATCATTATCTCTACAAATAAATGTTGTGAGTTCTGAATAAATCTACAGCAGAACTGACGATGATGATAACGACGATGACAACAATAATCATGATGATGATGATGACGTTGATGATGGTGACAACGATCATGATGATGATGGTGATAACAACGATCATGATCATGATGATGACAACGATGATGATGATGATGATGATAACAACGATCATGATGATGATGATGATGATGTTGATGACGATGACAACAACGATCATGATGATAATGATGAAGGAACCCTTTCACTGACTCTTGCTTCCAGTTGGCGGCAACAAAAACTCAAAGCATTTTGTCCAAAATGACCTTTATCACTAATACAAGAATTAAGTCACAACATGTTCACATGACTTCCTAAAAATGTTCATGTAAAAAATGTTGTCCCACAATCGAAAAATTCCTTCCACTTTTTACTTCATGCAACCAAGAAATATTGGTCCAACATCTACAGAACTCTTGGCATGGCATTTGTCCTTTAGCAGACAAAAATATGATTGGAAAAGCCATAAGACTGTTTTTTATATAAAGACATATGTTATTTATAAGATAAACAAAGTGATAAACTTTCAAGCAACATACATCGATGCTATGCTTTCTTCTCAATAAACTATTGACTAACGTTCGGTCCCCAAATGCTAAAATGTGTTGCTGAAACATGGTGACAAACATGGCTGCAAGTCACCTTGCACAAAATGATAAATAGGGCAGGTCACTAAAACACTGTATTCATACACAGTTTCTAAAGCTACTTTACTGATTGAAATTACATCTTAAACATTTATTATTACAAAATGTTAATTCATTATATGATAAAGAGTTTATCTGGTGTGTTTCCATAAGACTCTCATGATACAATTTTTATTCCTAATATAAGATATTTACGATACAGAAACACACTCAGGAAACAATCTCCACTTCCTCCAGTTTCTTTTTGAAATACAGTATCAAACATGGTCATAATTAACTCCAAAATTGATTGTTATATCTGTAGTTCTTTACTTGCGAAGCGGTGATCCCCACAATTCAAATTATTTTGTATCATTCATGGTCTAGTGTGTAAAAAGTGTTTTATTTAGTACTTAGTTCAACTAGCCCTGACAATCTAAAGAGCACATATTGTTGGATTACATTCATCTCAGCTTCATAACCTCTTTTGACAATTCATGCCAACATTAGTTTGTTAAGGATGTGATTCACATGAAGAGTGAATACTTATGTATTTCATCATTCAAAGAGGGAGAGAATGTATATAGGTATTTGGGAACAATAAAACAATGCGAGGTGGGCAGAGATGAAAAGCAAAAATTATAATAAGCATGTGCAAATAAATGTGAAAAAAAAATGTCTTGTGAACCAGAATTAAAAAAATTATATTTGTTTGTGAAAACTAAATCTTTTAGTGTATGAAGTGTATGAAGTCCATTATCCCTGCCTGAACAAGAAGCTCTACACACAATCACAACTTTTTCTATAATCGTATCTCCTCATGTCTGTGAATGTATTGTTGACCAAGATGCAAATCAGGGCATGACTTGAATTCAAACCAATGGTCATAGGTTCCTGCTTCACCAAAGGAACACTACTCTGCACTCCGACTCGGTGTATGAAGCCCGTTGGTGTGTCTACAGTTGCCAGGAAGCTCCAGACACATGATTACTGACTATCTGAATAATCGCATGTCACCTCATTTTTTAGAGCATATATTGCTTCAACACCATGCTAGACTGAAGCCTTCTCACCACAGCGGAAAGCCCAAGATAAACTAAGATGGAGGTGGTAATCCTCGTTGGGACTGCCAAGGTTTTGTGTATCACAGTCACACCATGTTTGATCAATACAAACGTAATTGGCGAGAAATGAGAACAAATGAGCCAGATAAAGTATATCTTTTACACATAAACAGACTTTCACCTTCATGACCTTGCTTCTTTCTGGATAAGAAGCCATATTTGCTGGGTCATGGAACCAATGAGGGTCAAGGTGAGCCAGTGAGTGTAGTTTGCTCCACACCAGCAATGTTCCAGAGATATCAATTTCTTAGACCATTGTGTTCCAAAAACAAATAAATTGGCATATAATTAATAATTAATGCTATCGCCTTGAGTAACTACCATAAGTCAGGATTGCAACGACATGGTGTGTATCTTTTTGCAGTGAGTCTGGACTAAAACAATTAGATCGGCCAGTTTCTTGCTGTGTGTCCCTTCAGTAGGTCAGGACTAAAACAACATGGTCAACCAGTTTCTTGCTGTCTGTCTCTACAGTAGGTCTGGACTAAAAGGATATGGTCAGCCAGTTTCTTGCTGTCTGTCCCTACAGTAGGTCAGGACTAAAAGGATATGGTCAGCCAGTTTCTTGCTGTGTGTCCAAAAAGGATATGGTCAGCCAGTTTTTTGCCGTCTGTCCTGAAATGATATGTCGGCCAGTTCTTGCTTTGTACAGTAGGTCTGGACTAAAAGGATATGGTCAGCCAGTTTCTTGCCATCTGTCCCTACAGTAGGTCAGGATTAAAAGGATATGGTCAGCCAATTTCTTGCTGTGTGTCCTGAAAGGATATGGTCAGCTAGTTTCTTGCCATCTGTCCCTACAGTAGGTCAGGATTAAAAGGATATGGTCAGCCAATTTCTTGCTGTGTGTCCTGAAAGGATATGTCAGCCAGTTCTTGCTTTGTACAGTAGGTCTGGACTAAAAGGATATGGTCAGCCAATGTCTTGCTGTGTGTCCTAAAAGGATATGGTCAGCCAGTTTCTTGCCATCTGTCCCTACAGTAGGTCAGGATTAAAAGGATATGGTCAGCCAGTTTCTTGCCATCTGTCCTGAAATGATATGTCAGGCAGAATCTTGCTTTGTACAGAAGGTCAGGACTAAATGGATGTGGTCAGCCAGAATCTTGCTGTTTGTCCCTACCTTTAGCTTGGACTGCACAGATATGATCGGCAAGTTTCTTGGCTGCTTGCTCTGCTTTCCATCGTCGCTCCCTCTCCTCCTCCAGCTCCTGCATCAGGTGCTGTAACAGAGTGTGGAACTTAGTTAAGGATTGTGAGAGTGATGAATCGAATAAACTGTCAATCGATCAATGCAGAAAGTCAAGACGATTAACCTGTTGAAAGGTAAAATTATACAGAACACTTCATAATGTGAAATTTAAAATCAAAGTCAAGACTGCAGTTTACTGGGCAAAAAATGGAACGGTCCAAATGAATTCATAGTTACACAAATCAAAAGTACAGACTAATAACTATGAATTCCTGTGAGGGGTCACAACCGTGCTTATACCACTACTGGTGACTTCCTATTGAGATAAGTGTTTCCGATAGCACTCTTTGATGCTTCATTGGTCTCCCATGTCTTTAATACTGTAAATCTTGAAATAAACGCTAGCGTGAATTAAATGCAAAAAATGCAAGTGGTCTTTCTCGCATTATTAAACATCACATTTATATCAACAGCAATAAATTTTGGATAGCAGAAATACCAACTTAGACATATGCTGAAAACAAACAACTATGTATTCCACATCACTGTTGATTGAGCAGCACTTGTAAACAAGTATATAAACAATGTCATTCAAACACTAATTACATCCTGTGAATTGTCACTGCTGGGGTCAAGACAAGAGTTCTACTCGCCTATGTCATCACTGATCACACCTGCAAGTCCAGACAGACCACCCACGCAACACAGTGTCTTTCTTCTTTACGACTGCATCAAAGGCCGAGAGCAGCCAGCGCGCATGCATTGTTTTAGTGGAAGTACTCTACTCAGCGCTAATAAGCGGTGCTATTTGAATTGTTTGATAGGCATTACTTAGAAGTTGATGGATGACAAGGTAGACACAATTTTATGGATAACAACTTCTTTAATACCATGAAAAGCGACGTTTCGGTAAAGATCCTTATATGGTTGTCAAACTATTTGGTGTGTGATTGGATTAATGTAAGGTTGGATTAAAGTGAAGGGTCTCCTGTTAACCTGAAGGAAGACATTTTCTTCAGATATAAATCCACTGATGCTTGAGAGGAGGGGCGTGTCGCATTCATATTGAGTCACATTTTTGGCTAGGGATCAGCGGTTGCATTCTTTTGGAGAAGCATTAATTTATACCTTCATAATCGTATAAGCTGAACATGATACTGACATTGATTATCATATCATTATGTCTGGAGGTGACAGCTGACAGCTTACGTGCATGTCAGGCTGGTCATTATTTTTTTTTTTTTCATTACATTCTGATGATCAATCACTATAAGAGTCTAAATATAGAATGTCTTCGATTACTTCAGCAAAAGAACTGTTAAATTTGTCAGTGCTAGTGATGTGAAATTTTCTATCAATGCTCCACATTTAAACTTTAAAAACAAGTACAGAGAGTTCTAATTTTATATATAATATGATTCATGTGGTTATCAGCCAAAAACGTATGAGGTTTTTTCCTGTGCAAATACTAAGACAAACAAACACTGAAGGAATATTCTATAAATTAACTTCACTGTGGTAAAAGTTAAATAAAACAGGCTATTATCATCATATTTCACATTGCAAGTGTCCACTTTCGATCAACTGTCAAAATGAAGGCTTAATTCTTTGACATATGACACTGATTGTCTGAACTCTTGACACAGGTGACATACAGTCAAGTCTTGTTAATCCGACATCGTTGGTTGCACATGATTGTGTCGGATTAACGAGTATGTCGGATTAACGAAATTAAGTGAATTGTGATCGAAAATCGGACGTCTTCACAATAGATAATAACCGTGTGTACCTTGTAATAAAATCATTAAAAACGAAATATTAATATTGTTATGTTGTTTATTCATTCATTCCTTAATTTATAATTAATGACTATGCAAAAATAATAATAATTTTCCCATTTATACATAACAATAGAGACATTACTCACTGAATTTATCACATGATCAACGACACAGGTTTCCTCGTGTAAATGCAAGTGCTACTGTCTTAACAACTTGCTTCATCTACTTCATCTAGTCTGTCAGTGCGTGTCAAAACACGGGGTTGTGTACTCGCGGTCAGATGACCACGGAGTACGCTGATCACTGTGTCGGATTAACGAGACTGATTAATGAGTGATTTCGGCAATTCGTTGCAAATTAGGTGTGTCGGAGTCTGAGTGCGAGAATGTCGGATTAACGGGACTAAATAGCACTGAATCAATCGGTTCCCATCATTTGGGTCGGATAAAGGCGAGTGTCGGATTAACGAGTGTCGGATTAACGAGACTTGACTGTAGGTAACTAGAGCTTGTTTTGACCATAATTACAGACTCCGCCAATCTTTGTTGTCCTGGATAGTTTCATTGAATGTTATTTATTTTTTGGTCAGTTGACAACATAAGAACCCGCCAGGAAACCTTACACCCTGCTTCTTCTCAATCACAGTGTTTGGTTCCGAACACACATATGTAATTTGAATAGAGAAAGTAAGCAAATATGTTTGATTATTGATCAATATGAGAGGACCATTTTCTTAATAAGAATAAGCAGATGCAGTTACCATCATTTGCTGCAGGAGCAGTGTGTGGAGCTTGCAAGGTTTGGTACTGCAGAACACTTTCATCACCTACTGCTGTAACAGTGTATGGAGCCTTGTTAAGTAAGGTTTGTTTGTTTGTTGTTTAACGCTGCACTCAGCAATATATTCCAGCTATATGATGGCGATCTGTAAAATAATCAAGTCCGGATCAGACAATCCTGTGATTGACATCATGAGTATCGATCCATGCAATTGAGATTGATGATATGCATCAACCAAGTCAGCAAGCCTGACCACCCGATCCCTTCAGTTGCCTCTTAAGACAAGCATAGTTGCATTTTACGGCAAGCATGGGTTGCTGAAGATCTATTTTACCCCGGAACTTCACGGGTCTGTTAAGTAATGGGAAACACTTGATCATCTGCATTGTGTGGAGAATGTATGGTTGAGTTTTGCAGGAAAACTACTTTCATCTGCCGGAACAGTGTCTGGAGCTTGGAAGGTTTAGTATTGGCTGATCATCCAGGTGAGCTAAAAGGTACCGCTAATGTTGCCATGGCACTCTAACTCACCTGGAGATGTAGTCATCAATTTAAAATGTCAAAAGAAGAGATGGACACTGAACAAAAGCTGCTGTCATCATTGATATTCCAGTATTCCCTTCCTAAATACTGAGAACTTAAAACTAAACCAACACTAAATGCTATAATTTTGTACAAAATGTATCATCAAAAGAGGAAATATTCATCAAAGATCAGATCAGTCTGTCTCAAAGGAGCAGATGTTTACAGGGCATAGGAATGCATTTTGAGAGAATAAAAGTCAGGGCCAACATGCAAGGGTCAAATCAAGGTCAAACTAAATTTCTTGAAAAACAGAACATGTAATGAGCCTCCATACCAAATTTCATAACATTTTGAAGAAAACATTGGCCCACAACATAAATAGGTATTTCAATATGGGATCAACTTTTTCTGTAAAACTGGGCTGTCCGATGTCAATGTCCATTGCCATATCGAAATCAGATAAGAATTGTATAAAAAAGTTTGGGGGTCATCATTGGTGGGAATATGTGTACCAAGTTTCAGCTTCAGGTGCACTGGTTTAAAAATAAGAAGATGGTTGCAGGACATGACAGAAGATCACTTGTACTTTGGGCAGGTGAGCTAAAAATTAAGACTCCTTCCATTGTTGTTTATTTGTTTTCCATCAACTGTGCTATAAGTTCAAAGCCAAAAACAATTTATAAACAAACAGTTTTAATAAGCTCACATTAAACTTAAACATTAAAACTTAAAGTTGTTCATGTCAAGTCATGATTTCCATTCTACATACACCACTCAAATGAATGTGAGGTCAAACCCATTCTTTCATATTAAGGGGTGGTGGGAAGCCTAGTGGTTAAAGCGTTCACTCGTCACGCTGAAGACCCCGAGTTCGAATCCCCACATGGGTACAATGCGTGAAGCCTATTGCTGGAATATTGCTAAAAGCAGTGTTTAACTAAACTCACTCACTCACTCACTCATTCTATAGAAACAGTTCTTTTCTGGACAGGTTTTATGTCATTGTAACTGACAATATTTGAATTCTTTATACATTGCTTATTCATAGCTTTTAATGATCTACATGATGTCCCAGATCTTCAAATTTCAATTTCACTTTTGATTATTTTACTAAAACCTCTAAGTTATCTCCAGAGTTTAATATTCTAACTTGAAAATTTCTATTTTTTCTTGATGCCCTCTTCCGTGATAGTTACATTCTAGCTTCATATTTCAGACATGATTGAATCCAACAGCAGACAATTTGAGACATAGCTGGATATTTGCGCTATTAAATATATGTAAAAAAATTCAAATACAAGTAATTTTAGAGATACTTTTCTCAAATTTGAAATGAAGAAATCCTACAAATGAATATAATCGACAGATGAAAGTTTCACAATTTTTTGTGAACTTATGTTCTAAACGTTGTCAGCTTCCCATTACCGTTGAATGTTTGAATGTAACAATAACTTTTATGAGATAATTCTGTACAAAAATAGATAACATGGCATTAGACTTCTATTCTGTCTGGATGGTAAATGTATGGAAACTGCTACAAATGTTTCTTTCAGGCAGGAATACTGACAGCCATTTCACTCTTTATTATTATATGTCATTGACCAGAAGCACATACGTTAACATACACAAGCGTGGCCTGCTCCACCACCCTGTTCAACTTGTCTGGAGACATACAAGGGCACTTAATATAATATTAAGGCATTTATCCTTTACAGTAATAAATGCTAATCAGGATTAGTTTTGACAGGAGGATAATTTCTATGATGCAGACAGATTATTCAACCTTATGAGCTATATGTGCAGTAAACAATTATTTCTGATCAGATATCGACTATAAGCAATTACTAGCCTGTAATGACACCGTCTGTGGCCACCGAAGGGTGTGATCAGTACTTGGCACACAGCCATTCTAGGATATTAACTCAGACAATGGTCTTCATCACTG